CGGATCCACAGTGTCAATACCTGCTTGATACTGATCAACGTTATGTCAAGAGAAGGATAGGCACCTTTGACTTACTCACAGTCACCATGAGTGATAACAACTGGAAGATCTACTTGCCGGAAGGACTGGTTGATAGCACCCTCAGATGGTACCACCTCTTATTGGGCCACTGTGGAAGCACAAGACTTTATGAAACTATCAGTGCTAGGTTCTATGCTCCATGACTCAGCCAAAGATGTAAACAATACCAATGTCCAGACGAGTGTCACAGATTTAAACAACAAGGCCAGGGACATGGCTTATTACCAGCCCGGGAAGCTCAGCTGGTTCCTTGGAATGAAGTATGTGTTGATTTAATTGGTCCCTGGAAGATACTTCTTCCGGATGAAACTGAATTAGTGATCAATGCTCTCACTTGCATTGATCCCGTCACTAACCTATTAGAAATCATCAGAATCAACAACAAATCAAGCGAGCATGTGGCAGAGCGGTTTTCTAACTGTTGGTTGTCAAGATACCCACGACCCAACAGGTGTGTCCATGATAATGGTTCAGAATTCATCGGAAGCCCATTCAAACAGTTACTGAACCAATACGGAATTAAGAGTGTCCAGACAACTGTTAAGAATCCACAGGCAAATGCAGTTTGTGAGAGAGTTCATCAGACAATAGCCAATGTTCTAAGAGCGACCCTTCATAGCAAGCCCCTTGAAGAAGCTGACTTTGATGAAGATCAACTGATTGACAATGCGCTTGCCTCAGCTATGCATGCCACGAGGTGTGCAGTGAATGCTGCTGTGAAGACATCACMAGGAGCTTTGGTTTTCAACAGAGATATGGTAATGGATATCCCACTCATTGCAGATTTGAAGCTCATCAGAGATAAAAGACAACACCAGATCGATGAGAATCTTAGGAGAGAAAATGCTCGGAGAATACCTTTCAAGTATCAGGTTGGGCAACAAGCTTACATGAAACACTATGAACCAGACAAGCTGTCCCAAAGATTACATGGTCCTTATCCTATTGTGGAGATCAACACCAATGGAACAGTAGTGTTACAAAGAAGTGACAACGTACGTGAGACTGTAAATATTCGAAAGCTTGTTCCTCACAAKGGAACCAATGCAGATGCCACTCCTGAAAACCCAGCAGCAGAGGAGGAACCCACTGCTGAGAATATTGAAGACATGATTGCTACAGTTTAGTAATAAGTAATATTGCAATATTGGAGCAATATTCCTGTCCGGGATAATGCAACGGATACGTACGTACTGTATCAGAAGTATACGTACCGTACGATACGAAGAAAGGAATGAAGTGACATACCATTCCTACGTACCTATCGTAAGGTACGGTTCATATGTATGTATCATAGGATTCTTCGTATTGAAGATCGTAAGAGGTCCGAGATATCTAGAGTTAGAATATCTTAAGAAGAACATAGATGTCACGAGTTCCGAATAGTAAGAACTCCGTGTAGATTGAGTACCAGATCTACTCAAGTAACTAATCGGAACTTCGGAAATCTCACATCGAGGTTCAATAATCTTAATMTTATAATTTCATTTTCATACACACTTAAACATACTACTAAAAGTACACGTAATCTCGTGCAAGAAGGGCCTCCAATCTTGTGAAACATACAACCATACATCAGTCAGAACAAATGCTAATAGAAACCGCTATGTCCAGGTACAGTCTGAGGCAATTAGATAAGGATTAAGATACCCCAAACAAGGGCTTCCAATCTTGTGAAACAGACAACCATCCGTCAGTCGGAACAAATGCTAATAGAAACTGCTATGTTGTGGTATGGTCTGAGGCAAATGGATGTTGACACCACAAAAAATGAAATGCAATACAGGGAGGGTGCAAGATTTAGCATTAGATGAGGAGATAATGGTGCCACACCAACAATGGAATGGAGCAAAAAAAGGGTCAACACACAATTTCCACACCAGCCTGTTCTGTTATACTGCTGTGAAGAGGTATTGCCTCTGCTAAAGGACTCTAGTTGTATGCATGGATGCACTGAACACAAAAGATTTGATGCGTCAAGCGGAAGCAATTATCTGTTCATGTTGCATCCCTCCTACCATAGTGACAGTGGACAAAAGAATGCAAAGTGGATGGACTGGGTAATTTTTCAGGTTTCGGATCACAATGATGAAGAGATGATAGTTCCAGGCCAGGTTGAGTGCTTTCTTTAGCTGAGAGAGGGGGGTGGTTGGTGCAAGCGGTGGGGTTTATGCTGTTGTGCGTTCCTTCAAGGAGGAAACTAAAAAATGGTATCCAACTTTGTCGCAACAGGACAACTGGATGGTTTCAAATTTGAACTGTATGACACTAAGACAATTGTATCAGAGATTGCAGTTGTCCCTAATTTCAATGAAAATAGAAACCCACAGATTGGTTGGTTGTCAAGAGACGGGCAGAGTGGCTGCAATTTTTTGAACAAAAGCTTGGTAGGGAGGACACAGTAGATGCAGAGGCCTAGAGACAGCACCTTGGGGATTGAATAGGAAAAGAAGTAATGTAAAGATGGTGGATTATATTTGTGTTTTGAGACTACATTTAGATTTCTTGGTGACTAATGGATTGTGGTGCACAGCATAACATTCAAAGTAATTTGGAAGCCAGGGTTGGGGGCGACACATTGTCTGGAGTATGCAACATCTTCTGGCTGTCTTGCTGATGGAAGCCAGCTGCAGTGTTGTGATCCACTGATGGTGAGGTGATAAATGGGTCCTAATCTTCATCATCACTGCCCTTGGGCCAGGGACAATAAGGGGGATCACTGCCTTCTCCTCCATCAGAATCATCACCCAGGTCCTTGTCCTCCTGAGTAATCATAGGCTGGTTTTTGTCCTCATCATTGGCAGATCCCTCAACATGTGCCTTGGTATCACCGTCCCCTTTGGACGTGTTGTTGTCATTGGCATTGGTTTAACAGTCCTGGGAGTCCTTGCTGGTGTATGATAGAAGGTAATTAAGAGCAAAGAATTTCTGGGTGGCCATATTCTTTAATTTCAATAAGATGTCTTTCATTGAGACAGCTAATGGTTCACCAACATTGTTCGACTTCTCTTCTTGTGTTCAATGGGGAAAACAAGAGCCTTTGGATAATCTGTCTGTGTGGCTTGAGGGAAGCAGTAGAGGAAGCCTGACAAACAGACTTATTTGCTGAATGTACAATGCACACAGGAATGAGAGATATACCAGTTGTACCTTCAGAGAGAAATTCATCTGGGGTATTGTCAAGTACACCCAAAGGGTTCTGGCCAGGCATCACTGCCTCCTCTTCCTCAGTGTCATCAGATGAAAATTGCTTCACCAACATTCCAATAATTCATCATAAATTCTAGTGATCTCCATGCTGTCCTCATACTTGAAATCTTTTTTGGTAACAGAGCAGCACTCCCAGAAAACCTTCAATGCAGTTTTGGCATTGAACAACTTGTGATGAAGGACTATTTCCCAAGAAGGAGTAACAGGTTTGTCCCCAAGTGACAGTTGTGGTTGACCTTTAGCCACCTGTAGATCAGAAAAGCAAAGAGTTGGGAAAGACTGCTGAAGGTTTGCTTGTATAGCATGCAAATCATCAGAAGATCTCACAGTGTCCCTGGTAAGGATCTGCTTTTTTTCAACCACACCTACTAGAAATGGGTCAATTAAAATGTTGTTTAGAACTGGATTGGTGACTTTCTGGATTAATTTTGGAGTGTGCAAGATGATCCTGTTTAGACGTTGAAGCATTGTGAGAGACTCTGGACCATTGGTTGGTGATGTCAAGCTTCTGACACTTCAAGGGGGGTAAATTTTCCAGTGCCTCAGAAAGGAAGTTGTTGATTCTGATTTTGGTACCATTGGTATCAAAAGATGGAGCTTTACCATTCATGGAATTAAGAACATCATCATCAGAAGGAGGACTACAAAACAAGTGACTGTTCATTGTTTGTGAAATTCAGTCCACAACCTGCCATGATTTTGGTTGGAGGAAAAGCAACCATTGTGACTGTGACATTAATACTAGCCTGTGGGGAGCATGTGAAAAACAAAAGGGGGAGCGGAGTCTAAAAAAGGATGCTATGATGGGATGTGATAGTAGGTTGCAATCACTTTTTGTGGTGGTGACCTAGTTGTACTACTACTATTAGCAGCAGCAGCAGTAGTACTACTACTACTAGTAAAAGAAGGTCCTCAATCATGAATCTACCCACCATTGATTAATTCTATTTCCAAAAATATAGCTCTCCTATTTGGAATTTCTTGTTGTACAATGTAACAATCTTTATTTTGAATTATTGAACAACTTAACAAAGAATTAATTTTTCTAGGAACTTCAAAATAAGGTCAACAACCACCACCCAAATGTTTCATTTTCACCTCAATTGTTCAGTAATGGAGCTACTAAGTACAATTCCAGTGCTGGCAAGTTACTATTGGCAATCCCCGTACAAATACAAATAGAAATTTTTAAGCTCATTTTTAGAGTTAAACCATTTAAAAAGGCATCCAACAGACAAAAATAAAAATGTTTCCATTGTTTTATTTCTCACTAGTCCCAAAATATTTCTATTAGTGGTCCTTAATACTGGGGATAAGCTCTGATTTTATATCCCAGTAGTAAGGACCACTAATAGTTTTTTGTGTAGGGGGGGAGAGGGGAAATGAAGACGGGAAAATATGAAAAAATTGACACTCGGGAAATTGCCAATAACTTGCCAGCACTGGAATTGTACGAGTACTTCGTAGCTCTAGTCAGTAAACGCTTGGTATGAACATTTTCTTTGAGCTACCACGTCGTTTCAAAAAATAACAATGTCGACGTACGTACCCACACAGTAGAACCGATGATACAGATTTTTTCCACCAGGAACCAATCGTTCCCAAAAAGGAAGCGAAGTACAAGCACTTTTTCGTCGTAAAATCGTAAAAACAGAAAAAAATATTCAAGAATAGACCGAAGTACGAACGAATGACCTTTTATTTGTCGTCATCACGATGGCGAAAGAAAAACATAGTTTTTGCAAATAACTTTTCCTTAGTTTTCCACTAACGGTCACTAAAGCAATATTCCAGGTCAGTAAGAGACAAAATAAGATGGAGGCTGCCTCACAAAATCAAGTCGGTGCTAATAACACAAGAGAAGGAAGAGGGAATGGCAATAATCGCAATAACAGGCGACGCGGGGGACGCGGTGGGCGCGGAGGACGCGGTGGACGCGGTGGTCGAGGCGGACGAGGTGGACGCGGAGGGAGGAATAGGAACTCTGAGAACGGAGAAAACAGTCAAAATAGGAACTATCCCAAAAAGCACAAGGAAGAGAACATGGATTCTTCCAATACCAATAACAAACGTCCCAAAAAAATTAAGAATACACCACCTGCACGCAATGAGAATGGTAGCACGCATGGCGGATCTGCTTCCGAGTCGAAGAAATTGGCGCACATCACAAACAACAGATTCGCCGATCTCAAAATCTCTGCTGAAAGTCGACGCGCAATGGCAGAAGTATTTCAGTACGAATTCATGACGGCTGTGCAGTCCGAAACATTGCCTTTGATCTTGAAGGAGAATAAGGACTGTCTTGCTAAAGCGAAGACAGGAACAGGAAAGACTCTCGCGTTCATGATCCCAACCATCGAAAAGATCACTGCATCCCTGTCGAAAAATGGAAAGCAACGTTCTGATATTTGTTGCTTGGTCATTTCTCCCACTCGCGAGCTTGCCCAACAGATCGGATCCGAAACTGAGAAACTTTTGTCCTTTCACAAGAGCTATCTTAGAAAAGTCGTGGTGTGCGTGGGTGGAACTAACAAGAACAAAGATATCAAGTCCCTTGTTGGGACTACGCCTATCGTTGTAGCAACTCCGGGTCGATTGTTAGATCATTTGCAAAATGGTGGTCTTGCAGAGCGTATGAATCGCCTCGATACACTCATTTTCGACGAAGCTGATCAGTTATTAGACATGGGATTCAGACCAGATATTGAGCGCATCCTTCGCCTGTTGCAACCCAGCCAAGAAACACGACAAACTCTGTTGTTTTCAGCCACTATACCTGATTCGGTCTCTGAAATTGCTGGTATTGCCATGCGTGGCGACTACAATTTTGTAGATACCGTTGGCGAGGACAGTGAGCAAACTCATTTGCACGTTCAGCAACAACTCATGGTGACTCCCCAAGCGCTATCGGTCCAAGCTCTGGCCAACGTTTTGGAGCGTGAAACCAAAAGCAACAAAGATTACAAGATCATTGTGTTCTTTACAACCGCACGCCTTACAGGATTTATGGCAGAACTTTTCAACTCAGTACAAAAAGAAACCGGGTATGATGTCCTCGAAATCCATTCTCGCAAATCTCAAAAGCAACGGGAACGAGCCTCTGAAGAATTTCGGCGGAGAAAGAATGCTGTAATGTTCAGTTCTGACGTTACGGCACGTGGTATGGATTATCCAGATGTTTCTTTTGTTTTGCAAGTTGGTTTGACCGATCGATCTCAGTACATTCATCGACTTGGACGAACCGCTCGAGCTGGAAAGGACGGAAAAGGGGGACTTTTGCTAGCGGACTACGAAAGAGATTACATGGTGAAGAAAGAACTTGCCGATATGCCGCTTGAAGTAACGCCTGTCCCCAACCTAGATCAGGCAACCGCTGCTATATCTAAAGCAATTCAAAATGTAAGCAAGAAAAATGACTTGCGCAACTCTGCTGAACAAGCCTATCGAGCCTGGCTCGGTTATTACAATGGTCACCTGAAGAAAGTTCGGTGGGACAAGAAGACTCTTGTTCAACATGCTAATATGTGGGGCATTGAAGTCGGTTTGAAAGAACAGCCTAGTCTCCAGAAAAGGACGATTGGCAAAATGGGACTTCGGGGAACTCCTGGTCTTGTCATCGAGAACTAAACGATACGATAACACACAATAAATGCATTATAGAATATTGTTCAACAAACAACTATTACGCACGAACTCTGTACTCCGTCTTCTATTATTATTTTCACGACACTATGATTTTCGCAAGCACATCAATAGAGATTCAATTCGAAATCATTTGCCGCATGTTGCAGATTATTTCTTAAAGTTACTTTTTCTTTCCAAAGTAATTCTTTTCGTACCGTATTATCGATATCACTGTGCTTTATTTCACTTCGACGAAAATGGAAAGATCACAGTTCTTCTGCATCTTCATCTTCTAGATTTAACGAAATTGTTTTCCCCCCAGTTGTCAAAACGGTTCCATATTGTCCGGGCCCGTATACCTTTTTGGCTTTCGCTAGATTACACCAATTATCGGGGCAGTTAGGCTCCAGCATTGACGTTCCGATCACCTTGAGATCTGGATGTTCTCGGGAGGTAGGGGTGAGTTCGTTCCATTCTTCTGGGACGGCATAGTGCGATTCAATATCGTGGTCTTTTCGATTCCATTCTCCCTTCGGGTACCAATGAACGAAGAGGCTCGTGTACCAGCTTCCATTAAACGTGGTCGGTCTCCCGTGAAAATTTTTGGAGGATTCGTACAATAGCATATCGCCCGGTTCCAAGTAAGCCATCTGTGTGTTTCCTTCGTAATCCTCGATTACGATGGGCCACGGTTCCGAGTCATCCGAGCTTGCAATGTGGTAAATACAGGAAATCACATGGGTCTGCGCTCGATCGGTGTGCATCCATAGATTTGATTCGTTTCTATCGAGGTGCAAGAACGCAAAATTAAAAAATATATGTATTTTAGAGACTTAACTCCGTTCGAGAAACAGGATTTGTGTTGCAGGTACCTGCTCATTACACTCATTCCGTATGCCCTCGGCGTTGCCAGAGCGACTTCTGTTGACAATTTCTACATCCGAAGAATGGAACTCACCTGTATAGCCGAAATCCATACGCAATAGCTGGCACCAGCTCCACACCTGACCATGCCTCCAAGATTGGTTGAAGCTCTGTCAGAGCACGTTCGTTTAGATGTGGTGCGTCGATAAAGAGCGGCGTGTTCGGGCCGCCGATTACATCAATTCCTCCTTCCGATCGAGCATTAGAAAGATTATCGTAGATAGTTTGTCGAATATCCAATGTTAGCAGATCGGGGGCCTGTGTCAAGCCCCATCCGTACTCAGTAAAATTCGGTGCTGTCACGGCAGCATTGCAGGTCTGAATCCATCCATCCCACTTCATCTGGGCATCCGTGAGTGCCATGACCTGATCAAATCGCTGATCCATCAGTCTCCTCCATCCCGGGGTATCGGGGTTGTATGAATGGAAGGGAAACTCGTACCCTCGCTCGTGGTGCCTTTGCACCCTGACTTCTTCGGTGTAGGGCGGGCCGCGTGATGCTTGCACCAACGATGGTACGAAAAGACACAACCATCCGACAGCGAGTGCCATAAGGAAACGACAATTCCCGTCCCGAAAACACAAGGTGTTTGTAACCTTTGCTTCATCCATTTTCTTTCTTGGCTTGTTTATCTGACAATGGGTATGTGTGAGCACGATGCTGATGTATTGGTGCGAAACAAGGGGCCGTATTACCGTTGAGGCACGATTGATTCATTTTTTGAGTTCCCTCGTATCGTGTTGTACAAACGCGATCGATACTTGGCTTGTTGAGGGTCCGAGTTTAGAGTGCACATACAGGCACGTACTTGGTACCCGTACTCGAAAATGCTGCTCGTAAACTGTGAAGAGAAAAGAGATACTGTACTGTATTAAGGTACCACACGGTACGTAGGGACAAAAGCAAACAAACCGTACGAGTTACGAGTCATGGGTGACCCCTGTTACGAGTACGTATGTACCGTTCGTACTCTTACGAGTACGAGTAGTATTAGGTATTAGAGTAGTCATACGTCCATACCGTACACATGGCAGTACAGGTATTATTCGTGGGTTCATAGAGGCAATAGGTACGTACGATTGCTATTACAATGTCCTACAATGAGTTTATTGGTACGTACGATACTGGTACCAAATTTTTGCAACCGATATTGCAAAACGGTCGAAGGAGTCTATCGGTACTTAAAATACGTAGGATTTTACGTAGGCTATAACACGTCACT